GATCCCCGCCCGGCCAGGCATGGCTCAGCGGTTGAGCATCGACCTAGCATCCAGGCGATTGGGGTTCGATTCCAGGTCAGGGCACATGCCCGGGTTGTGGGCTAGGCAGCCGATCAATGACTCTCTCATCATTGATGTTTCTATCTCTCTCCCCCCCTTTTCCTCTCTCTGAAATCAATAAAGATATGTTTAAAAAAAGAAAGAAATCAGATCCCCTCCCTGGCAGATGTGGCTCGGTTGAGCAGCGTCGTGTGCACCAAAAGGTCACTGGTTAGATTCCCAGTCGGGGCACCTTTTGGGGTGCGTGTGGGAGGCAACCGATTGATGTTTCTCTCACATCGATGTTCCTCTCTCTCTCCCTTCCTTCCAATCTCTCTAAAATCAATATAAACATTTTTTAAAAAGACAAACCAGATTCCTATTCTCTGCCTCTACCACCATCGGTAGCAAGTGGCTTTCTTCTCCATGGTCACAAAATGTTTGTCGCATCACCAAGAAGCACCTCCACATTCCAGGTGGGAAGGACAGTGGACAAGAGATGCATGTCTGTTGAGTTTGTTACAATAACTTCCCTAAAAGCCCTACCCACTAGATTTCTGGGTATGTCTTATTGACCAGAATTGTGTCAAAACCCCAGCTACAAGCAGAGTTCTTTACCTGAGCACACTGCCACCCTGAACGAAACTGGGGTACGTGCATGAGAAGGACAAAGGAGAGAATGCATATTGGGCAGGGAACCAGCATGGTCTCCCCCTGGATATACTGAGCAGGAGACGGATGTTTTCCAAAGTCTTTATAGCAGGCTCTCCACCATTAAACTGCATATGCTTTTTACTTTGGTTACTTTGCAATAAATACTGGTGTTATAGAGCAGAGGAAACCATAGACTCTCTGTGCCCCAGACAGAAAAGGACATGTTGCAATTGGATGTCACCACTTAGGCTAAATATTTCAGATAAAAAAGAGGGAAGTAGGTTGTCCCGTATCTGTGGAGCCGGACTGTGGCAAAATCTCTGTCCACCCTGCTTAAAGAAGATGAGGACGGGTGTGCCACAGGGCCGAAGGGTTGAGCTCACCAGAGTTTACGCTATATTGTCACCACTGATCTATCGTGTTTTTCTCCCTCCCTCCCTCCTTCCCTCCTTCCCTCCCTCTCTCTCTCATTAATTTGTGTTCCTTTGAAAAAAGGAAACCTCCCAATTCCCTACTTTTTCCCTCCTCCTACTCTCCACAACTATAGTGACATGTTTGATGTGTAGTTTTGCTTTTTGTAATTGTTCTTGCACAATGTGTGCTGTGGACATAAACTTTTAATTTATAGAAATGGTGTTGGGTTACGTCCACTATTCTGTTCTTTACTTTTCTCATGCAGCGTTGTGCTTTTAGGGTTTGTCCAGGTTGCTTGTGCCCATGTCACCCAGTGCTCCTGGTTGCCACATACTTCCTCACCATGCACCTCCTCCGCATGTTAGCCAAACACTCTGTTATGGCCTGGATTGTGTTCCCCCAAAATTCATATTCAAAATTGAAATCCCAACCCCAGTATGTGTTTTGTTATGGTAGCCCTAGCAACCTAATATGCACTCTCTTAGAGACACCTAGAATTCTTTCAATAATTTTGTTGAAAGCTTCCCCCCCCCC